TCAGCCTGGTCTCTCGGCGGTTTGTGGCGGTGTCTCAGCCGGGTCTCTCGGTGGTTTGTGGCAGTGTCTCGGCCCAGTCTCTCGGTGGTTTGTGGCGGTGTCTCAGCCTGGTCTCTCAGCGGTTTGTGGCGGTGTCTCGGCCTGGTCTCTCGGTGGTTCGTGGCGGTGTCTCGGCCTGGTCTCTCAATCCAGCCTGGCTAGGTCTCAGCATACGAGTGGGTCCTGCCTGGCTGCTTTCTGGAGGCAGCAAGAGGAGACTGGAGAAGCTTCAGTAGCAGCAGCAGCGCTGGCATTACAGCCTGATGCAGAAAGAGCGAGCAGTAAGCGAGGTCCCCCAGTATATGTGGTGGTATCATCGGGGACAGGCAGCTGAGGTCTCCTGGAGAGTGAGACAAGTGGAGCTCTCATCAAAGACTGTTGAACTTTTAACTTAATTCCTTTATTTTTCTAGTTTAAATTAAGAAGGACTTTATTGCTAACTAGTACCTTATTTCTTTATTTTTCTATTTATTCCGTGGGGATAATGCTGAACATTTTTTACTCTGGTTCTCTTACCTAAGTTTTTTATACCTAGGTACCTTTGTAACTAAGACAGTGCCGTGTGTGGCAACATTATACACTTTTCTCTGTACTCGTGTATTTCTGCATTTCAGTGCATGTGACAACAAAATCTAAATTAAAGTACTGTGATTATCCCTGATACATACCATGTGACAGGATGGATTGCTGCTACCATTCTGTTTTCAGACTGTGATCTACAGGCCCAATTCCTCCATTCTGAGGAAGGGTCACTGGACCAGAAACGTTAACTCTGGGTTTTTTTCTCCACAGATGCTGCCAGACCTGCTGAGCATTTTCAGCAACTTCTGTTTTTGTTCCAATCCCCCTGCTGTGATAGTTCAAACCCACCTGGTAGTCTCATGAGAAGTGGCTCTTTTCTTGCACAAGATGTAGTTTCTTGCATTATGGCAATTAGATACATTCATTGTTACTGAAACTTATCCACAGACCTAGGCTGCCTGGCCTGTCCTCTTTGTGGCACTAAGAAGTTCTGCCTTACTTTTATTCACTTGTAGGACTGGGCGATGATGGCTGGGCCAGCATTTACTGTGCTTCTGTTAGTTGCCCTTGAGAAGCAAGGGCACGTAGTGAGCTGCCTTTTCGAGCCACTACAGTTCACGTGCTGTAGATAGACCCGCAGTACTGTTAGGGAGGGAATTTCAGGATTTTGATCCAATGAAAGTGAAGGAAAGTGATATATTTCCAAATCAGGATGGGAGTGGCATGGAGGGGAACTTGCAGGTAGTAGTGCTCCAATGCATCTGCTGCCCTTGCTGTTCTAGATGGAAGTGGTCGTGGGTTTGAAAGGTGCTGTCTGAGGATCTTTGACAAATTTCTGCAGTGCATTTTGTAGATAGGACATACTACTGCAACTGAGTGTAAGTGAAGGAGGGAGTGGATGTGGTGCCAATCAAGCGAGCTGCTTTGACCTGGATGGTGTCAAACCTCTTAAGTGTTGTTGGAGCTACACCCATCAGGCAAGTGGGGAATATTCCATCACACTCTTGATTTGTGCCTTGTAGATGGAGGACAGGCTTTGGGGAGTCAGGAGGTGAGTCACTCCAGATTTCCAGTGTCTGATTTGCTCTTGTAGCTACTATATTTATATGGTGAATTTCTGGTCAGTGGTAACCTCAGGATATTAATAGTGGGGGATTCAGTGATGGAAACACTATTACATGTCAAAGAGCGGTGGTTAGATTGTTTCTTATTGGAGATGGTCATTGTCTGGCATTCATGTGGCATGAATGTAACTTGCCACTTTTCAGCCAAAGCCTGGATTTTGTCCAGATGTTGTTGCTTTGAACATGGACCGCTTCAGTTTTTGAGGAGTTGTAAATGGTGCTGAACATTGTGCAATCATCCTATTTCTAAGGACATCATCATATTGGCTGGATTTTAATGCAGTCTTCAATATTAGCCCTTTAAGAACCATTGCCTTGCACAACACTAGTGAAATATGTATTTATAGAGAACAGTTTTATGCACAATGGTGTAATTAGATGAGTTTTCAGACTCTCCTTGAGCCACACAGCAGTCACTCATTGGTAAGGGAAGCTGTTCCATAACACAAACTTCCAACAGAGACAAGGATAGTCATCTCTTCCAGGTGCAGAATAAGAGCCTGAGCCACAAGTGGCACAAAAATAATTTTAAAAAGGTTGAATTGCTTTCTTTCATTGAAACAAATTGTGACTATACATGACTCCATTCTAATTTGTATGATTCTAATGGTATAAACATGTGAATCAGGAGAGAGCATGCCATTGCAAGAGGATTTTAGGTCAGAGTATAGTTGTCTTACTGCAGTTTTACAGAGGCTTGGTGAGTCCGCACCTGGAGTATTGTGTGCAGTTTTGGTCTTGCTACTAAAGGAAGGAGATACTTGCCATAGGGAGTGAAGTGGGGATTTGCTAGGTTGATGCCAGGGACAGCAGGACTATCCTATGAGGAGAGACTGATTCCACTGGGCCTTATTTACTAGAGTTTAGAAGGATGAAAGAGGGTCCTATTGAAGCATATATAATTCTAACAGACAGCTCAGAATAGATGCAGGGAGGATGTTTCCCCTGGGTAGGGAGCCTAGAGCCAGAGGACACAGTCTCAGGATCTGGGGTAGGCCATTACGGACTGAGGTGCAGAAAACTTTCTTCACTCAAAAGGTAGTAAACCTGTGGAGTTCTCTGCCACAGAGGCTGTGGAGGCCAAGGCACTGAGTATATTCAAGAAAGTGGTTTTTTTTAGATTTTAAAGGCATCAAGATGTTTGGTGGGGGAGAGCAGGAATATGACATTGGGGATCAGCCTTGGTCGTATTGAATGGCGGAGCAGACTGGAAGGGCTAATGGCCTACTTATGCTCCTAATTTCCACGTTTGTTCATCTAGGCCATGGTTTTGCAAAGATTTGCTGCAGTAGATGGTACACACTGCTGCAACAATGGAAGGAGTGATTGTAGAAGGTGTTTGACGGGGTGCTGATCAATTGAGCTGCTTCATCCTGGTTCATGTTGAGCTTATAAAGTATTGTTGGAGCTGCACTTGATGATTGACCTCCAACAACTGCAACAGTCTTTCTTTGTGCTACGTATGCCTTTGAGTTCAATTTGGCAGGCGCTGTTTGTGATCCTTCAATCAGTCAAATGCTGCCTTGATGTCAAAGGCAGTGACTCTAACTCATCTTTGGAATTCAGCTCTTTTGTCTGTATTGGGACCAAACCCTGTAAAGAGGCCAGGAATTGAGTGGCCCTGGCAAAACCCAAACTGAGCATCAATGAGATATTTGCTGAATAAGTGCTTCTTCATAGCACCGTTGACAACACCTTCTATCACTTTGCTGATGCCAATGAGACTCGACTGATGGGACAGTAATTGGCCAGATTGGATTTGTGTTGTTTTATGTGGACATTTAAAATTTGTATATTATTGGGTAAGTGCCACTGTTGTAGCTGTCCTGGAATTGCCTGAAAGGATGGTTGAAGAAGATTCAGCAATAAGTCAATGGATACATAGCTTAAAAGGAAACATTTGCAGGGCTATGGAGAAAGAAAATGGAGTGGAACTGATTGGATATTTCCATCAAAGAGTCAGCCTTTATATGAGTTGACCACTCAGCCTATCTATACCAGACCACAAGATGGCAAGACAAGATTGTGGAACACTGGGTTATTTGAAGCTTTCAATGTTGTGATTTTTTTTGTTGGGCAATGAAGATGGAGCGAAGGTAACTAAGTGGAGTTGAGGTACAGATCAGCTATGATCTAATTGAATGACATATTACTTTTCCTATTTCCCTATGGGCTGTGACCCACCCTTTGGGCTGCTGACTTCCACAATTTATATTTGTTGCTGTTGATACTTTTGATTGGTACCAGTGATGAAATCTCTCCAAATCTCAGATTATTTTACTGCTTTCCACAGACACAGGTTATTTATAATGAAGCATTTCCCCTTTCAACACTTCAATACCAATAGAAACCTTCTTATTTGAACGGGCTAATAATTGTATTTTACAGCAGCCAAGGAACGAGGGCTTGTGCTGGCTTATCGAACAAACTCTCTAATTAGTCCCATTTTCATGCTCTTTCCCAGCAGCTCTGCATTTTTCCTCCTCATACATCTATAATTCTGTTTTGAATGACACCAAGCGATGCAAGCAGCAAATTGTGTTTAGAGGTTTACTCAATCCTGTCATTCCTGAAGATTAATTTAGAAGTTGCAACCTGAAAACAGTCCATATTACCGTAAACATCCTCCACTTGAGTAGTAACATTAGTACTATGATCTTGTTGTGTTCTTACATCCCTTCATCCCCTATTCTTCAATGACCTGTCTGACCGTTCTTTAAATGTTGGCATGCCTTTTGGTTCAAATTTAATTGTAGCTATGCATTCTACAACTTCACAGTCCTTTTAAAAATGTGCCTCCTGTGTTCAGATGATACCTCTTATTAACATGCACTCTATTGGCTTTGCCTATCCAGAGTCTTCAGTTTTGCCACAGACCACATAAGTATTGATTTACCATATTAACTGTATCGATAATGTGTTGTCCGTAGATGGTATTTGTGTTTTAAGTCTCAATAGCCTGTAGTTTTGTATTTTACCGTTACACCTGTCTAGAGCCTAAGCTCTGGAGTTACCTCCCTTATCCTCCATGTCTCTGTTTTCTCCTTTAAGATGATCTGTAAAACCTATGTCTTTTCAACCAAGCTTTTGTCACCTGTCTTAATATCTCCTTATACAGCTCTGTGGCAGTTGTTATCTTGACTGTGCTCCAGTGAAATCTTTGGGTCATTATTCTATATTAAGGGAGTTATATAATTACAAGTTGTTGCTGTGAAATAGTTTTGAAATTCACCACAAAAATTCATCGACACAATTCTTTTGACTTATGTTTTAAACCTTGGGCTAATTCTTCTCATATATTATATTTCCCCCTAGGTGGCCACGCAGAGACATCTTCAAAAGAAAGTGGTTGTGCAATGCTGAGCTGGAACATTGATTCTCATATGATATAGAATCTGCATTGACAAACATAAAGCAATGACAGAATAATTTCTCTGATTAATTTTCATTTTCAGAGGGATTTCCTAAATCTGCTGTTGACTGTCACGTTTCAGTTTTCCCCTCGATGTTGAATCAATTCCTCTGACTTTCTGAATGAACTACCACCAGGTGTGTGCCATTGGTTGACCTTAGTACTATGGAGCAACAGATAGAGACAGTTTCCAAATAATATTACCTGGGAAAATAGATGTTTCCTTTCAGAGATTCTAAAGGTGCTCTGAATCCTCAGTTTCATGGGAACATAGGATTGAATGAGACTGAAAAGAAATAATTTCAGACCCTCAGGCATTCATCAGAGTTCAAAAACAGAATGCACAACTCAAAACCAATGTTTCTCACCCAATTTTTTGCATGAAATGCCTATCCAATTAATTTATATCAGCCTTGACAACCTCCCTGGCTTTTTACATTGAAGTCTACGAAAGCCAGGGATTTGTCCTGAATGCTAGGAAGATGAAGGTCTTCTACTAGCCCACAGGAAAAGCATCAAATCCAAATTCTTCAAATTGAGATTCGCGGTGAAGTGTTGGAAGCTACCCCTCACTTGCCATATCTTGAAAACTAGCCCAAATTGATTGATTAAGAAGTACATTGCCAAATGTTGTTTGCCAACACAGCCTGTGGTAAATTATGTACTTGAATTTTCAATAGCTGTAGTCATGGTATCAAACCCAACACTAAAGTCAAAGTCTTTTGGGCAGCAGCTGTTTCCATACTCTTCTATGGTGTTGAGACCTGGACAGTTTGTAAAGTCTGTATTCTGTGATTGAACAACATGATCAACACTGTATCAGAAGGATCCAGAGAATCAAATCAGAGAATGATAGAATAAAGATGAGTGCTGTCCAAGACATAAACGTGCCAATTACAAAGACCATAATGATATCTCACATGGGACATGCCACCGAGATGCCTGACTCAAGGCTGCTCAAAATAATGGTGCTCAACTCAGAATGACAACAGTGAACCCATTCACACAGTGGACAACAAAAATATATCAAATACAACCTTGGAACTTCCATGAAGGTCTACACTATTAACATCAACAGATGGGAAGCAGATGCCCAATTACAGCCAAAATGGGGACCCATCATCAAAAATGGAGCCAAGACTTTTCAATCAATCATAGCAGCCCCTGAGAGAGTGAGACGGAATCACAGGGCATTGTTTGAATCACAATACCACCTCAACATGAGGGATTGCTGTGTCCCACTCCTCTACGTTCATTCTGTCCATTCACCTACCCTTTCTGTGCAAAACTTTTCTGATTTGGCCACTCTACTCCCTCTGGTTATGCATCACCATTTCACACTTCTACAATACACATCAGAACAGCCTCTAATGTGCACCCATGGTGAACTTACCAGCACAACCTCCCCCCACCACCTTGCCCTTTATTAAAGATAGCAGTTTTATCACCTACACCCCTCCCATTCATCTCAGTAACTTGACCCTTGCTCTCATCTTACAATCTTCAATGTTGCCAGGTTTATAGAAATTAGGAGCAGGAGTAGGTGATTTGACCCTGCTCCACCATTCAGTATGATCATGGCTGATCCTCTATCTCAGTAGTATATTCTCACTTTCATCCGATACCCATTGATGCCTTTAAAATCTAAATATTTGTTGTTGCTCTTTCCTAAATATATTTGGTAACTGTTCCTCCACAGCCTTCTGTGGTACAGAACTCCAGAGGTTCACTCTTGAGTGAATAAATGTTTCCACATCTCTGTCCCAAATGGCCTACCCTGTATCCTGAGACTATGTTCCCTGGTCTTAAACAGCCCAACCAGGGAAACATCCTCCCTGCGTCTAGTCTTTCGACCATTGTTAGGATTTTATATATTTTAATCGGATCCCCTTTCATCCTTCAAATCTCTAATGAATTACAGGCCCAGTCCATCTCCTGTCATAGTCCTGCCATCCTCAGTATGAGCTGATTAAACCTATGCCCTACATGCTCTATGGCAAATATATCCTTTCAGGGTGAGTTATAGCCTCTACCAGTAGCCCTGCCTAAAACTGTGTGGATGCAGTGTTGCAGTAGAATCCATATTAACTTTAGTGAAGAACTGAGTAAACATTTTTAAAAAGAAAACTCACTTAAGGTGTACAGAGGGACGGTGTTTATTTGGTTATAACAGTGACCTCTTTCTATGCTGTAACATTTGACAATTAGTTTTTAGAGATATATTTTTTGTAAATTCTGACTCACACTTGCTTTCAATCTAAATAAAAGCTTTTAAGGTGTTGATCAGGAGAGCAGATGAGAATATTTTTGCATAGCAATTTGTTATGATATAGAACACACTACCTCAAAGACTGATGTGAGCAGATTCAATATATCTTTTTCAAATGGAATTCAATACTTACTTAAACAGGGAAGAATGTGTCCTGCTATTGGGAAAAAGTAGGAGGTGGGAGTAATTGAATAATTATCTCAAAGATAATGAGCACAATGGGCTGATGAATTTCTTCTGTGTGATTTCATGATTGTATTTCCTTTCTGCAACAAGAAGGCTGTTGGTGGAAAGCCTTCAGTATAAATAAATGAATTGGTGAAGGCAATGAAATGGTAAAGGAGCTGTGGGAAGAATTAGTCCCAATTTTCAGTGAATCCCTACAGTGTGGAAGCAGGCCATTCAGCCCATCTGCAGAGCATTCCACCTCGACCCAGCCTCCTACCCTTGACCTGCATTTCCCATGGCTAATCCACTTATCCTATGCTATGGGCCATTTAGCTTGGTCCAATCCATCCAACCTGCACATCTTTGGACTCTGGGAGGAAACCTGGCAGATACCCTCACAGACACGGAGAATGTGCAAACTCCAGACAGATAGTTATCCAAGGGTGGAATTGAACCTGGGTCCCTGGTGTTGCAAGGCAGCAGTGCTAACCACTGAGCCGCCCAATTTTAAAACACTCGATGACAGAGTTGGTTGGAAAATATTGCACAAAACCTGCTCCTTGCAGCACATCTCAAATCACTTGATAAGATGGGGATGGCTTCATTCATCCCCTACATATAGACAAAGCTGGACTGTAAAGACTGTTTCGTCCATCCAGCCTAACGTATATAACTGTAATACTTTGTACATTGAGGTATATAAGCTTTCCACCCCACCCAAAACTTGTGACCTCCTTGGAAAAGACAGCAGAGAAACAGGCTAATTTGGGGGGGAATATTCTTGGAACTTTCAGTCACTTTGGTGGTCAATGAAACTATTCTGACCCACTTTAACATGGGGGTTGCATGAATCTGAGTTCACTGCATGAGCCAGCTCCAATATTCTCTTGCAAAAGAAGAACCTTCGGATATTTAACTGGAATCTGACCTCAAACATCTTGAAATTCTGACACCTAATTCTCTGAAACCGAAGGAATTGGAGCAACTTGTCAAATGGAATGTCAGCCTTCATCACAATAAACCACAATGAGATCGCACTGACAACTGAAAAGTGTAGAACCGCAGCTCCCTTGAGCTACCTTGATAATTTAAGATATTTTAAACTGGAAACTAATCTAGCAGATTCTCCACTTTTTCCAAAGGTTTTAAAGGAGCAGTGAACGCTGATAAAAAATGTAATCTTTTTCTTTACTTAAAGAGTATAGATATTGGATATTCTGCAGGTTTGTATTGGTGTTATACTAGTGTGGAAAAGTTTCAAAAGATGCACTTTGATTGGAATCTGTCCAAGTGCAAAGTGTTTTTATTTGGTTGTCTGTGAGGCTATGGTTAGTCTTACCTGAACAAATAACGGCATTTGCAGCAAGGAGCTGCTGTGGATAGTGTGATCATAAAACTGTTTTGTTGTGACAATATGTCTGTGTGATTCCCAGTGTATATTTTGACAAAGAGATTAATTTTGCTGCACAGCGCCCAAACACAGAGGGGTTTAATTCGAGATAGTAGGAACTGCAGATGCTGGAGAATCTGAGATAACAAGGTGTAGAACTGGATGAACACAGCAGGCCAAGCAGCATCAGAGGAGCAGGAAGGCTGACGTTTCGGGCCTAGACCCTTCTTCAGAAATTTAATTAGCTCCAAAGATGCCAATAAGTGTGAAGAAAATTAATTTTCTAGTGATGGTGCTTTTATATTCTGTCAGGCTTTAGAAAATGCTCTTCTGCTCTGCAGGCATTTCAGGGCCCAAGTGCTTTGGGCTGATCAACCGTGGATCTATTACAGAATGATATCTATGACCCGTAAACATCTGCTTTTCAGCAGGTGGGAGTGGAGACATCAACAGACAGCAATTAAGATTGATTTTCCTTTTCTGAACACGGAAGCCTTTCCTAGCAGCTACATGGGAACAGAACCACCTGCAACTTCCCCTCCTAGCCATTCACCATCCTGACTTGGAAATATATCACCGTTCCTTCAGTGTCACCTGGTCAAAATCCTGGAATTCCCTTCCTAAGGATGTTGTGGATCAACCCACAATTACATGGGCAGTAGCAGTTCAAGAACTCAGCTCACCACCACCTTCTCAAGGGATGAGCAATAAATGCTGGCCCAGCCAATAGCCCCCACATTCCTGAATAAAAAAAGTTCCTCAGAAGTTCCAGCACAGAGACATCCAATCATAATTCAAGGGTGGCTATGACAGTAAAGGGAGAACAAATTGGGCCAGTACTGCCCTTTATTTCAATATTTCATTAATAGGTCTGTAGTCACTGGATCAACAGAACTTTTCAATGCTAATATTGATAGCTTTGTGTGATGCAAGAGTATTAAAGGATCTGGGGAAATAGTGGATAAGTTAGTTAGAGACATAGATCTGCCTTGAATGGTGGAACAGGTTTGAGGGGCTGAATGGTCCACACCTATTCTGTAAAGGTTAGCCTAAAGTCAATGGTGAGAGCTTTCTTTTGATGAAATGTGGAGTGGAAGATTTTCTGTTACTTCCGTCCATGCAGAATGTGTTTACAGTTTTAATGCCTCAAAGAACTGTTTACCCTCCTACTGATGCACAGCCTCCCACTACAAAGCATTAATAAATGGAAAAAAATAATTTAGAGCAAAGCTCCAGAGGAAACAGTGATAAACAGAGGAACAAGCCAATATTGATTGCCCATTACAGAAAGGTCCCTAAAGAAGTCTTGGAACTTTGTTCCATATAGCTGCTTGTTTCGGTTCTGAAAGTTGGGATTGAATTGACCTTATTGTTGGGTCCAGATTTTGTTGGCTCAGATGTCCTCAGTGTGGTTTTAAATTCCCCGCATCAATCGCAGTTCTGCATTGTAAAAAGAGGATATGTGTACAGATTGTGTGTCTGTATCTAGAAGTACGGACATGTATGAGTGTCAGTGAGCATATAGTTGTATGTGAGTGTCTCTAAGTGTCTGTTTATGTATATGCTTCCTCATCAAATCTTACCAGATTCTTTCATTGCTGTTTGTAAATGCAAAACCACAGTGTGTAAAAGCCTCACTATTTGTTTGTTAGCTAGTCAAATTGTAGGAGATTCTCTTTGAGAACTGTCTACCTCACTCTCACTATCTCTGTCATTTTCCACCACTCTTACTATCTTACACACTTGTTTTTCCTTATCCTTTTCGTTGTGGTTATACCTTTTCAGCATGTTTATGTGACATGTCCAATCCTTATTCCTACAATCAAGAGTATTTATCAGATAAGTCACATGACTAACCCTGCTAGCCAGTTTATGTGGAACATTGAATTTTCCTTTCAGAGGTTTATCTTATAATGACAACATTATCAATACATAATCTCCCTTGTGAAACTCTCCGGTGGCTGGATATTTATCTGCCCATTCTCTCATCTTCACCAGTGAAACTTGTAAATGTTCCTGTGCGACCCTACGTGACTCTGTGAATTTTTCCAGAAACAGGGACACATAATCCAACGCTGAGGATTCATTTTTCTCATTCAGCAGCTTCTCCATAATCAATTTAAATGGATTTCTAATCTCATGACCATCAAGCAATTCAAATGGGCTAAATCCAGTAGATTCATTTGGGAAATCTCTGGTAGCATATAATAAAAAGAAACTGATCCTCTATCCCAGTGCTGTGGGTACTTGTGACAGTTAATTATGGTTTTTAGACTCTGATGGTACCTTTCCAAATCTTCCCCTATTTGTGGATGATACACAATTGACTTCAACAGTTTATATCCAAACCGCTAACGGTTTACTGGATATGTTTAGAAATTAAGTTGGAACCCTGATCAGACAGTACTGCACTAGGTAGTCTATAACAAGTCCAAAACTATGTCCTATAACAAGTCAAAAACTATGTTAACTTGTCCACTACTAACTTATCTATATCAAAGTAGAGTGTCTGAGAATTAGATTGTCACATTCATAATCGTAAGCATACACTGATGTCCTGCTTTTGTTTTTGGTAATGGTCCTACAACAATACATTAACGCTTGACTAATCAATTCTTCGAAACTGGTGTAAGTGCTGGTTTAAACATGTGTTGAGACTTTCTGACCACCTGCCATTTGGACGTTTTCTAGAACAACACTAGGAAATCTTTGCCACATAAAATGCCTGTTTATCAATGCCTGTGTTTTCAGTATTCCTACATATCCCACCATAGGAACTTTATGTGCTGCTTGCAACATCTCCGTGAGATCTGGGCAGTACCACTATTTGACGAACAACTATCCATTCTTCAACTGCAGTCATGTCTTCACTTCCTCATCAGAATAACACTTTTAATAGAATAACTCTGTGGAATGCCTTTAGTCTCAGCTTCAGTATGACCTGCTTGTGGTAACCTACTTAATTCTGGATCAGCTTCCTGAGCTTCAATTAATGAACACATGCTAAACACTTCTTTTGAACTACCCTCATTCTTAAATAGAGTTTCATCTCAATTTCAGTATTATCCCTTAATATCTAAAGAGGAACCCTTGGGGCATCATGGCCATCCATTCCTTACCTTGGCTACTTGCCTTCCTCTCACTCATAACCATCAGGCCTTATTGCTGCCTGTCTAGCAGTTGCAACTATTGGCCCTCAACATGTGTTTTTATTACGGATTGGAGTAAGTTTTTAAATTCCTCCAAGAGAGTAACCTCTCTAAGAAGTGCATACATGGTTTCATCTTCCAATGCTCTTGTTCACCTGTCAAAATCACTTTGCTCAACCCTTTTGAGTTCAATATAGATTTGTCTAGGCTGCTTCCTTCAATTTCAGAATCTTTGCTTGTATGCTTCAATAGTATGCAGCCAATACAATTTTCTTCAATGCATCCTAGTCTCAAGAAACATCGTCTA